TGCACACTAATGGACATATCTAGAACTTAGAGATACGATTGATCACTCCCAATTATTTCAGCATGGAATACTTTGGTCATTTTGAATTTTTGGCTACTGAATGTTGAATTCGCTACGCTACTTAGCTATCTATATATCTCTAGAACTTAGAGATACAACTGATCCTTCATCCTTGGCCAACTATTTTTCTCTTCAAAATTATATATACTTTGATATATTTTGGAACAAAAAAAATTGAGACATTCATCACTAATCTATACTATGGTGGTAATGTTTTGTATTACATAATATCCTATCACGTGATATGAAAATGTAACTGATGGACCTGGTATTCACCTGCTTCACCTGCCCGTTGAAATAAAGTATTTTACTCCAATTATTATTAAATAATTAATATATTATATCTTATTATATTTCATTTAATATGATTATTATTACTATATTATTATTATTTATCTTATTTCCTTCATTTTCATTTACTTTCTCCTCATTTCCCCAAATTTCCCCTACATTCTTCTATTTTCTTTCACTTTCACTCTCTTTTCCCCCTTCTTTCCTTCTCTTCCCACGTGAGAGTGGCAGAAGCCACCCTTCCCTTCTCCTTTCCCCCTCTTTCTTTCTTTCTTTCTTTCTTTTATTTTCACTCATATGTATAAATGTATGCATGCCCATGCAAATCTCTTCCCCCCTACATTTTCCCTTTATAACTCATTCACTCCTTTATTTTCCATTATATACCAACACTTTCTCATACATACTTGAACTTTCCCATATACAATAATTGGTGAGGAATATTGGTGTATGATGGAGAATGTTAAGGTATAGCGGAGAATATTAAGGTATAACGGAGAATGTTGGTGAATGTTAACGTAAGTCGAGGAATTTATCTACAACCTTTTCATATAAATAGGGAGCACCCCTCCCCCTTTCTACACAACAACAAGTGACACACAACATAAGTCCCTCCACACACCACAACTCACACACAATACACTCTCTCTACTTTCTCTCTCTAAAAACGTTTTCTCTCTCCTCCCGATATCCTAAAACGTGTTAAACCTCTAAACACTCAACACACCCTCAATTTGGCGGACTAAGCCGTGGAATCGTGGATAGTCTCCACCGGGCGGCATTAAATAGCCGACGGCGCTCAATTACGACCGTGGGACCGAACCAGGTCTAACGTCATCGTATTTATTTTATTCGATTCAGATTACTAATTTGAGCGTCGGAGGAGGTTCCAACCAGGACCCCCCGGCGGGACCTTTTTTTTCCAGGTATTCGCACTGAGCTGGAGGTGGTTAAAGGCTTTGGGAAATCAGCGCTCTCCGGACCTTAAACATATTGAAGCAGGCTGCTCTAAGCTTGGCTTCAACAATTGGCGCCCACCGTGGGGCCTGGTGAGAAGAATATTGCCAAAGTCTGACAAAATCACTGTCACACTGTGATGAATATTCAGGATACTACCAGCATACTTACCGTCAAAGCGGAGAGTAGCCCTATTACAACAATCAATAGTGGGGGCAATCTAACCCCATCATCAATTAGGGGACACAATTCAAGAATTAGGCCAAGACAAGGGCCAATGGGTCGAGGAGCTACCACATGTGCTTTGGACGAACAACTTACAAAACTTCCACTGGGGAGATGCCATACTCACTGACATATGGCACTGATGTTATGCTACCAATTGAAATGGAGCTCTCCTCTTACAGAATCCAACCATTCCACCCTGATGAAAATCAAATCGAACTCACTCATGATCTACATCTCATAGAGGAGCGTCGAGAATACGCACTTATGCTACTTGTCGCTTCCAAAGAGAGGATCGCGTGTTATTTCAACGTCAAAGTGAGAAATCGACCCATCCGGGAAGGAGAATGGGCTCTGAGGAGAAACTTCAAAAAAATTCAAAGTCATGAAAATTTTACTCCCTAGTAGGAAGGTCCTTACAAGATGCGCAAAGTGGTGGGACCAAATACAGTCAAACTATCTCTCTATGATGACCAGGATATGTCACGTAAAGCTCCAAAATTTACGCCTCATTTGGTAATCATTTCTACACTCTCTTACTGGGTAAATTATGCACTAGGTTGTGCCAAAATAATTTCACATGTGCAAAAATATTCATGCCACAATTTTTTTAGACTAGTATATGCCAAAAAAGACATATATCACGTCAGTCCTATGCTCGTGATCTACATTAAGGCGAGGATATGAACAGCCAAAGCGATTGCTTTAAAACATGTTCTGTTATCTTCTTGCCGATAGAAAAGTCAGGATAATTTTTCGTGAACTCCTGCCAAAATCACAGTCATTTCTCGTGATTTTCTACCGGCAAGGGGGGCAATTGATGGACCCGGTATTCACCTGCTTCACCTGCCGTTGAAATAAAGTATTTTACTCCAATTATTATCAAAATAATTAATATATTATATATTATTATATTTCATTTAATATTATTATTACTATATTATTATTATTTATCTTATTTCCTTCATTTTCATTTACTTTCTCCTCATTTCCCCAATTTTCCCCTACATTCTTCTATTTTCTTTCACTTTCACTTGTACTCTCTTTTCCCCCTTCTTTCCTTCTCTTCCCACGTGAGAGTGGTAGAAGTCACCCTTCCCTTCTCCTTTCCCCCTCTTTCTTTCTTTCTTTCTTTTATTTTCACTCATATGTATAAATGTATGCATGCCCATGCAAATCTCTTCCCCCCTACATTTTTCCTCTATAACTCATTCACTCCTTTATTTTCCATTACATACCAACACTTTCTCATACATACTTGAACTTTCCCATATACAATAATTGGTGAGGAATATTGGTGTATGATGGAGAATGTTAAGGTATAGCGGAGAATGTTGGTGAATGTTAATGTAAGTCGAGGAATTTAACTACAACCTTTTCCTATAAATAGGGAGCACCCCTCCCCCTTTCTACACAACAACAAGTCACACACAACATAAGTCCCTCCACACACCACAACTCACACACAATACACTCTCTCTACTTTCTCTCTCTAAAAATTTTTTCTCTCTCCTCCCGATATCCTAAAACGTGTTAAACCTCTAAACACTCAACACACCCTCAATTTGGCTGACTAAGCCATGGAATCGTGGATAGTCTCCACCGGGCGGCATTAAATAGCCGACGGCGCTCAATTACGACCGTGGGACCGAACCAGGTCTAACGTCATCGTATTTATTTTATTCCATTCAAATTACTAATTTGAGCGTCGGAGGAGGTTCCAACCAGGACCCCCCGGTGGGACCTTTTTTTCCAGGTATTCGCACGGAGCTGGAGGTGGTTAAAGGCTTTGGGAAATCAGCGCTCTCTGGACCTTAAACATATTGAAGCAGGCTGCTCTAAGCTTGGCATCAACAGTAACATTATGACATGAACATAACATAGTGTAAAATGGTTGAATACATGATAGTAGGAAATATGAACTATCATTTTACCACATTCATCATTGTTTACCGTCAGTTACCACCCCTATATCAGGGTGGTGATGAGTGATATATTTTGGTCCTATCTTTTATTTAGAAATTTATAGATTCAATAGATCAAGACGAACTCGTTCCTTCTGTGCGATATTTTTCAAATATGAGTTAAAAACAAAGTTGGTACCTGGCGGTATCAAGGTGATAATGAGTGGTATGAAATTCTTTTTCCTCAAAAGATAATGAAAATAGATATCATTTTGTAAATCACAACGACCTCTCGATCGTTTCATATGTGTCTAAAAATTTTAAAATCCAAATTAAATCGAAAATCATAAATACCGTTTAATTAAATAAAGTAAAAAATCATTAATTTTCACTATGTATATTTGAACTCGTTTAGTAGGGATGGCAAAAATATCCGTAACCGTGGATATCCGCCCGAATCCGGCCTAATCGGGTAGGGTAGAACCCGAACCCGAAGGACATTTAGTTGGTATGGGTAAAATCCGAACCCGAATATTGCGGGTAATGGGTGGACATGGGTTTCTCACTATCCAACCCGAACCCGCCCGATTATACACATGCATATGTATTCTGTCTAGAAATAATCATTTTTTTCTCTAACATATTTTATATTTAGCATATAAATATAATATTTTCATGAAATTGTGTTGTTTTAATTAATTTTCTTTATTCTAGTGAATTATTGTCGTACTTTTCTTCTTGCGTATTGTGAGAATACGTGTGAATGTTAACATATTGGTTATAGTTATGAAGAAAAATCATTACCCATGGATAATCGCGGATAACCGAAACCCGAACGAGTATCGACATGGTTTTAATTTTCTACCCGTTTCACATATGGGTATGGGTATGGATAAAACCCGAACTACTTTAGATAGGGTAACGGATATACACTATCCGTCCCCGACCCGACCCATTGCCATCCCTATCGTTTAACCCTACTCAAAACTAAGAGTTCAAATCTTGTTATGTAAGGTATATCCTAAACCATTCTGCCTATACCTAGGTAGCGCTAGTAACGCGCCTCACCCTTTCTCACCTTCAAGAGACAACGCCAAGTCCACCTACAACAACGGCCTCCTCTCCCCTCCCCCCATAAGCTGGTGCCACGTGCCCCCTAACACCACAGTTTACACCACGCAGTTCGCCTCAATAACCCACGTGGCAGACACGTGGCAGACACCAGGACCCACCTCCGAATAAACCCTCTCAGTATGTATGGATATGCCCAACAGGACACCTCTGCCCCCTCTTCCCACTGGGATATAAATTATAATCTTTGGATATCCACCCCCAAAATCAAATTTATTGTCATTTTCTATATTATCATATTATTTTCTCCCCAGCGCTTCCGCGAATATTCCCTCACAAATTCCTCAATCCAATCCATTACCTCCGACGATGAACCTCTCTTTATATATAAAACAAAATGCTTCCCCCTGAGCTCTCAACCCTCGTTCATCACGCCTAATTCTGCAAAGAGAGTGAAATCCAAAGGGAAAGCTGATCATTTTTTGCTTGAAAATGGTGAGCGGCACTTTCGGCCGAGCCAAGCGAGTCACCGACCCGCTCGACGACAGGGCCAGAGCTCGACTCATCTCCGGCCACGACAACCTCAGCTACGCCAGCAGCGGCAGCGAGCATTCCGCCGCCGACCTCGACCTCCACGACGACGATTCCCCTTGCCTCTCCCATCTCGTCCAAGGTTTCCTCGAGGAGGAGGCGGAGAACGATTCCTCCTCATCACTCGCCGGTCACGATTCCGACTCCGAACCGACCGACTCGCTCCCGGACTTCCCCGATTCTTTCGCTGACATCGCCTTCGCCGCCGACCCCGGCCGGAACCTACTGTCGGCGCAGGTGAACAAGGCCGCCGCGCTGGCCTTCTCCCACCTCCGGAACCAGAAACCCGCGCTCCGGCGCGAAGTGATGTCGTTTCTCAGGGAGTCGGGCCACAATGCCGGGATCTGCAAGACCAGGTGGGACTCCTCCGGTGGTTTGACTGGCGGGACGTACGAATTCATCGACGTCTTCCTCTCACCGGCGGCGGCGTGGCCGAAGCGGTACATTGTAGATCTGGATTTCGCGTCGCAGTTCGAGATTGCGAGGCCGACCGCGCAGTACCAGAGGGTGCTGGACTCCCTGCCGAGAGTATTCGTCGGCGGGATCGCGGATCTGAAGAGGATTGTGAGGGCGGTGAGCGACGCGGCGAGAAGGTCTCTGAAATCGAAGGGCCTCTCGCCGCCTCCGTGGAGGAAAAATCGCTACATGCTAAACAATTGGCTTGGGCCTTACCGTCGTACGATCAATCCGGTGCCGGCAAGCTCATTCCCGTCGGTGATCGGTGGCGGCCAATGTAGGGTAGTCGGTTTCGACGACGGGGTAGGCGGCCGCCTCGTGGTCCGTACATGATCGTAAACCTGCTCGGAGTTCTCTTACTTGCTCCCCAAGCAAGCCAACCCAACCCACCGTACTCTATAAATTGAATGCCCCCAAATCACCGTGAACTCTCATCCCCTGCCTGCTCCTAGGGTTTCTTGGGGGTCCGGCTTTTCTTCCAATCTGTCCCTCCAGTCTCTGTTTTCCCCGAGCTAGCGGCCGCCGCCATGTCGAGAATTGGGAACAACATCTTCTCGTTACTGGAGGGAGTAGAATGCGACCCATCCAAGGTCATTGAGAACGCCAATCTCGTCCACAAGGCTTCCCCTGCTCCTGCGCCTTCCAAGAAAGAAAAAATTGCCCAAAAAGCAGTCTCCAAGAACGAAGCCGCTCTTGATCTTCAGCAACGTAAGCCCTCTTTCCTGATTCCCAGTTAAAAAATTTTCTAGTTAAATTTTATTTGTTCTTTGATTCGGAACAACGTGGTGGCTAGTTCATTGAATTGTTAAGTTTCTTCAGTAATAACCGGATCGATGATTTTTGGTTGACCCTTTGTTGAAGGGTACTGTAATTTGTTGATTGTTTTTTTCTGGGTAATGATTCTTTTGCCTCTTTTGGAATCCAGACCTATTATATCCAAGTCAGAATCGACTCAGAAACCTCAGAAGGGAACGTCAGGGTAATAACAATGGATATGTTAGCAATGGGCGCCGACAAGAAAGTAGCAGAGGGTCTCAAGAGAAGGATGGGGAGCTGAACAACAACCACAACATTAATGGCGGGAGGTATTATGAGCATAGGAATGGGTATCAGGGTGGTTCTCGCGGTGGTTATAGTTACAATAACCAATACAGGAAGAACAACAACTACAGCAATGGAAGAGGGTACAACAATTCCGGAGTGGAGGAAGATTGCAGGAACCAGCTGCCCGAAGTCGTGGATCAGGGTTCTGCTTCAAATGTTGGGGATGATAGCTGGCAGGAGGTAGGTTCCAGGCGCAATGTTCATAAACAAGCCCGAGTTTACAATTCCGGTTATCGCAGGCGCCGATACCACAATGGCTGGCAGAATCGAGAGAATCACAGCAACAAGAATGGCTCTGAAAGCACGGAGAGGAACGATACCAATGGTGTCGATGGAAGCGAGGCGGCTCCTGCGATTAGTGCTGCTGCTGATATCGACACGGATGATGTCCATGGAAGCGAGAAATCTCCGCTGATTGATGCTGCTGCTGCTGCTGCTGATATTGTGGATGCTAAGTCTGAGATTGGCAGTGCTACTGCAGACAGCACGAGCGAAGTTACTCAAGGGTAAGATTTGAAATTGTCCAATTAACGACCCAAAATAATTCCAATTCGGTTAAGTGGTTGATTTGTCTTGGTTTCACTAACTAATGGTCTGTGTGTTGAACAGAGATGGTGGTGCCAATGCTACTGGGTCGGAGGAGTCTGCTGAGAAGAAGTCTGAAGGGGAGGAGAATAAAAACAAGAAGAAGAAGAAGAAAAGAAACAACAAGAACAACAATGGAGATCAGTTTGATAAGGAGAAGGAAGCACAGTCTAGAGTGGATGACAGGGTAAGATGAATCCCTTTGTGGTTGGGAATTCGATTTTTCTAAGATGATTTGGGCGAATATCAATTGACTTGATCTGTCTTCAATCAATCAAATTGAATTGCAGAAACTGATGACTCTTAAAGAGTATGAGAAGCTTCAGTTGCAAAAGAAGGAAGCTTTGGAGGCTCTGAAAAGCGGCGAGGCAAGGCAAGTGAGGGTCGACAAGGATTTGGAATCGATGCAACTCGTGGAGAAGAAGAGGAAGGAGGAAAGTGATGCATCGAAGATGAAAGAAGAGGCAGAGAAGAAGAAGGCCAGCAGCCCCGTCATTAAGGTAGTTATTGTAACAGCTCAAATGGATTGTTATCAGTACCCGGTGGCTATGGCATTTTACTGAAACTGAGTAGTTGGTAATGGTATTCTGATTGTTTAATGATCGTTTAAACCTTGCGGTTTCAGAAGAAGGGCATCGACGAGTTTGTCAAGCCGAAGACGTTGGCAGCTGGACGTCCCCACGGCGGCGGGAACTATCAAAGCCAGGACCGGCGGAATTATGGCGACGGCGAGAGGTTTAACAACCAATCCAGGGCTGGACGTGGCCTCGGGAATTATCAGCATCAGCGGGAAAACTATGGGGATGAGAAGGTTTTCAATGGCCGCAGGGGAAGCGTCGGTGTGAGAGGCAGGGGAAACGGCGGCGTTAATTACAGCAATAGTTCTTCATCCGCCGGTGGTGATGGTGCCGCCGCGGCGACGGCGGGGGACGTTTCTGCTGCTGGCGGCGGCGCTAAGGGTGGCCCTGAATTCGCTATTGACCCAAAACAATTTCCTGAGCTTCTCAGAGAAAAGTGATTTTTGTAGACTCAGTAGTCCGGATATCAAGATTAAAGATTTAATTAGAGAGTTAAAAGAGTGTTTTGTTTGCTAGCTATATTTCTACCGCTACTTAATTGATCTTGCCTTCTATTTCACGACTGTTTATCAACACTCCAGAGTTTTCTGATAATTCCTTGGACAACCTTGATTATTAGGCTATTGAATGTTGAGAACTTAGAGATACAACCGATCCTTCATCCTTGGCCAACTATTTTTCATTACTAAGAAACCACTTAAAAAAAAAGGAGACCCTCTCTGTTGTATTTTTTTTTTTTTTTTTTTTTTTTTTTTTTTTACAATTTGAGGCACATTGAAGTGAAGTCCTGCAGCTTAGGGAAGACGGACCCCAGAAACCATCAGGACGCAGGATCTCTTTTATAATCTTATTGTGCATAACCATATATAACCCGTCATATTACTATCACATTACTGCCTCTCTAACATTTTTCTTTGTAAATTTTAATGGTCAATTTCTCTTTTGTTTTAATCTATAATTTTTTCTATATATAAATCAGATTAATTGTGCTCTTCAAAATTATATCTACTTTGATACATTTTGGAACAAATAAAATTGAGACATTTATCACCAGTCTATACTATGGTTGTAATGCTTTGTATTACATAAGATCCTATCGCGTGATACGAAAATCTACCATGATTGCATGAACATAGCAGAGTGTAGAATGGTTGAATACATGATCGTATGAAATACGAACTGTCATTTTACCACATTCATCATTGTTTACCGTCAGTTACCACCCCCTATATCTGGGTGGAAATGAGTGATATATTTTGGTCCTATCTTTTATTTAGAAATTTATAGATTCAACATATCACGACGAACTCGTTCCTTCTGTCAGTTCTGTGTGATATTTTTCAAATCTAAGTTAAAAACAAAGGTGGTACCTGGCGGTATCAAGGTGATAATGAGTGGTGTGAAATTCTTTTTCCTCAAAAGATAATGAAAATAGATATCATTTTGTAAATCACAACGACCTCTCGATCGTTTCATCTGTGTATAAAATTTTAAAATCCAAATTAGAACGAAAAAGATAAATACCGTTTAAGTAAAAATAAATAAAAAAACATTAATTTTCACCATTTATATTTGAACTCGTTTAAACCCTCTCAAAACTACAGAGTTCAAATCTTGTTATGTAAGGTATTATCCTAAACCATTCTGCCTAAACCTAGGTAGCGCTAGTAAGTAGTAACGCGCCTCACCCTTTCTCACCTTCAAGAATCAAGAGTCGCAACGCCAAGTCCAACTACAACAACGGCCTCCCCTCCCCCCATAAGCTGGTGCCACGTGCCCCTTAAAACCACAGTTTACACCACGCAGTTCGCCTCAATAACCCACGTGTCAGACACGTGGCAGCCACCAGGACCCCACCTCCGAATAAACCCTCTCAGTATGTATGGATATGCCCAACAGGACACCTCTGCCCTCCACTCTTCCACTGGGATATAAATTATAATCTTTGGATATCCACCCCCAAAATCAAATTTATTGTCATTTTCTATATTATCATATTATTTTCTCCCCAGCGCTTCCGCGAATATTCCCTCACAAATTCCTCAATCCAATCCATTACCTCCGACGATGAACCTCTCTTTATATATAAAACAAAATGCTTCCCCCTGAGCTCTCAACCCTCGTTCATCACGCCTAATTCTGCAAAGAGAGTGAAATCCAAAGGGAAAGCTGATCATTTTTTGCTTGAAAATGGTGAGCGGCACTTTCGGCCGAGCCAAGCGAGTCACCGACCCGCTCGACGACAGGGCCAGAGCTCGACTCATCTCCGGCCACGACAACCTCAGCTACGCCAGCAGCGGCAGCGAGCATTCCGCCGCCGACCTCGACCTCCACGACGACGATTCCCCTTGCCTCTCCCATCTCGTCCAAGGTTTCCTCGAGGAGGAGGCGGAGAACGATTCCTCCTCATCACTCGCCGGTCACGATTCCGACTCCGAACCGACCGACTCGCTCCCGGACTTCCCCGATTCTTTCGCTGACATCGCCTTCGCCGCCGACCCCGGCCGGAACCTACTGTCGGCGCAGGTGAACAAGGCCGCCGCGCTGGCCTTCTCCCACCTCCGGAACCAGAAACCCGCGCTCCGGCGCGAAGTGATGTCGTTTCTCAGGGAGTCCGGCCACAATGCCGGGATCTGCAAGACCAGGTGGGACTCCTCCGGCGGTTTGACTGGCGGGACGTACGAATTCATCGACGTCTTCCTCTCACCGGCGGCGGCGTGGCCGAAGCGGTACATTGTAGATCTGGATTTCGCGTCGCAGTTCGAGATTGCGAGGCCGACCGCGCAGTACCAGAGGGTGCTGGACTCCCTGCCGAGAGTATTCGTCGGCGGGATCGCGGATCTGAAGAGGATTGTGAGGGCGGTGAGCGACGCGGCGAGAAGGTCTCTGAAATCGAAGGGCCTCTCGCTGCCTCCGTGGAGGAAAAATCGCTACATGCTAAACAATTGGCTTGGGCCTTACCGTCGTACGATCAATCCGGTGCCGGCAAGCTCATTCCCGTCGGTGATCGGTGGCGGCCAATGTAGGGTAGTCGGTTTCGACGACGGGGTAGGCGGCCGCCTCGTGGTCCGTACATGATCGTAAACCTTCTCATGGGGGAATTTTTGTGTAACGTTTTTTTTTTTTTTTTTTTGCCCCGGTTTTGTTTCGTGTCTTCTAGTTGGGTAGGGAAGGTGCCAAAGTAAATTATGATCGAGGAGGCATATTAGAAAAAGACTAATATCTCATAAGAAAACAAAGGACTAATATTAATAATAATTTATCATTATGAGCAAATTCTCGTGATTTAATTTTCGGGTTAATTGCAAGTTTGGTCACTGAATTTACTAAAAAAACGTTTATGTTTAATCACTCGAAATATTTAAATCCATTAGTGGTCACTCGAATTAGTAAAATGGTCCACGTTAGTCACTCTCCGTTAGTCTCCGTTAACACCGCCAGTCAATTGCTAACGTGGCGAACAGAACTGCTGACCCGCCACATCACAAAATTCGACAACCCACCACATCATCTTGTTTACCCAACTCTTTTAATCAATCTCATGAACCGACCCCTCAAATTAAAACCCTAAACAATCACCTTTCCTGATCGAAACAAGCATACGCAAATTGCCCCCTTCCCTCTTCTTCCCCAACCTTGGACCTGCTCGCGAGTTCTTTCGAGAACCCAAATCGCTTGTCCAGCTCCACCTCCTCGCTCTAGTTATCTTCCCCTCCGCCGTTGTCCGCCTTTACCTTCTTCTTCTCCTTCCGCCGTCGGAGCACGACATGGATGTGCTTGGTGGGAGAAGGGGGCGGGAATGGCATCTTCTTGAAGATCCACATCGGCGTCGGGAAGGGCATTTTCTGAAAAGAACATTCTGCAGTTGAGTGGCGCTGGAAAAAATTTCACGCCGCTGTGGCGGGTGAATCCGTTCGGGGAAATGCTGGGGGATCTCGCACATGCAACAGCAGAGCGGGTTGAGGACCTCTTGTCACCGCCATAGTCCAAATCCCTCTCTGTCTTTCAAGGGATTTTGCACCAGATTCTTCCTCGGTCGCCATCGTCGGTGGCACCTACGAAAAAGAGCAGCTAGAGTTTGATGAGTTGAGCGCGAAGAGAAGAAGAAGAAGAGGGAGGTGGGGTCGTGAAGTACGACAGCCGGAGAGGGAGAGTGAATGAACAAGAAAGCTAATTCACCATGTATCTTCACAAAACAAACAACTGAGATTTTCAATTTGGGGTTTCCTTTTCTTGGATTTAAGAAGGGGTGGGGGATTTATAGAGTTGGATTTTGGCTGGGAAGGGATTGGAATTAATTACTGGGAGGGGATTCACTACTGCAAGGAGATAAGAATGGCAATGGATGAGAGAGGATGGATTTCTGGAGGCGGTGAGCGATTGCTTGGCGGCGGTGGGTTTGGAGATGGAGGGTTGGGTAACGATGTTAAAGGGTTGGTTTATGGGTTGGGTTGGGGGAAATGAGGTGGTGGGTTGAGTGACGTGGCGGGATGAATTTGGTGATGTGGCGGGTTAAAATTGGGTGAGTCGGAAGTTTTGTTGCCACGTCAGTAATTGACTCACGGTGTTAACGAAGACTAACGGAGAGTGACTGAACGTGGATCGTTTTACTAATTCGAGTGACCACTAATGAATTTAAATATTTTGAGTGACTAAACATGAACATTTTTAGAAAACTCAGTGACCAAACTTGCAATTAACCCTTTAATTTCCACACGATGTTCCCCTTTTGCTTCACTAAAGCTGTTCCGATGGGTGCAAATTACATCTTTATGGTAAGCAATGGGTTAAATTAGGGTAATATCTATTTACTATCTAATTTTTTTTGGATTTGTTTTTATTTGTCAAACCTATCGAAATACTAAAAATTATTTAAATGCTAATTTTTAAATTATCAATTTTGTTAGTAATATTAACTTGACAACATGATATTGACTTGGAAGAGACACATTTAGGTCAACATTCCAATGTTTTAATATTTTAACAAAGAAAATAGGTATAAAATTATTAGCGATAACGTAAAAATGGCTAATATTTTGATGCATTACGAAAAATTTGGCTAATTAATAGCATTTTAATAGATTTGGATAATATAAAAAAATCTGAAAAATGTTTGGATAAAAAATAGATATGACCTGTTAAATTACTTAGAATGTCCAAAACGAGCGGCGAATCGCCGCCGCGTTAGGGAAGGAAGACTGAATATCGACTTTTAAGGTAATTAAGTTTGTTCACTTGCGTATTATAAGTACTAGCAAGTTGTGAGCTCCGCGGCGTGGTCATGTATTTTGTATAATATTTGTTAATAATATAAGATAACAGAAAGGTCAAATCGATTCAACACTTAACACATATCGATTCAACACTTAACATTTCATAATCAAATAAAGAAGTGTGCATCTTCGTGTAAGGGCCAAAAACCAGCCATTCAATAAGCTCTTGCCATGTGTTGATGTTTTTTTTGTTACAATTTAGTCAAAACTGTAAATGAAAATAGTGTCGCGGAAAAAATGGTAAAACAGATTTGGTGATTCAAAATGGTGAAGGCAAGTGGATCTCACATGCTAGTGCCCTCGACGATAGAAAAACTAGAAAAGAGACGCATTTCATAAAAGAAAGTAAAAAACAACGTTGTGTGACCTCCAACCAGGTAACCTTGCAGCGTGTCAACCCAACGTGTGTGTGGTCCGTTTTTCTCAGCGGATCAAGGTCAACACTTAACATTTCAAAATCAAATAAATAAATGTACATCTTCATGTAAGGGCCAAAAATCAGCCATTCAAGAAGCTTTCGCCATGTGTTGATGCTTTTTCTTGTTACAATTTAGTCAAAATTGAAAATAGCGTCGCGGGAAAAATGGTAAATCCCGGCTTCCTCTACCAAGGAAGACCTCGCCTCGGGAAGTGAAATCCGCCATCAATTCCACCAGCGGTTTCATGATCCCCACCTGTACGGCTCTGATTTTGTTCTCCTTCACCGAGCAGAGGAAGTAGAGCGCGGTGGACGCTTCCTTCTTCGCGCGGAACCCGCCGCTCTCCAGCAAGCTCACCAGCGGCGGAATCGCCCCCAACCTCCCAATTGTGACCTTATTCTCTTCCAATTGCGAAAGCCAGCACAGGCCAAATTCTCTCTCGGCCTAGAAATAAAGGAAAGAAAATGATAAAGGAAAGAAAATGGAAAGAAAAATGGGATTCAAAATGATAAAGGAAAGAAAATGGAAATATGTGTAAATTAAAAAAAATATGAAATTTGCTGAGTTGGCAGTGACATGGCGCGTTGACCATTAGTCAACGCGTTTGACCGTCCAAGTTAACGGTCAAAAGTCGGATCTGGCCAAATTGTTTATTTTGATGTATAGTTCGGGCCAGGATGTTATATATCGAAAAAATTGGTCAGGATGTTTATTTTGGTCAAAGTTCAGGTCATACAGAAATATTAACCCTTATTTTTAACTCAATTTTTAAAAAAATTTGCACAAATGAAACGAATTCATCGTGATTTATTGAATCTACAAATTTATTAAGAAAATACATCACTAGAATAAGGTTTCAAACTTATGAATCGAGTGCCTGTTTTTTATTTGTGAGTCGGTAGTTAGTTAAAAAGAATACATAAATAGCCATATCTCCTATCAGATGTCGTTCCGGGTAATCCCCAAGGGAGTCTATAGAATCAAATTCTTGAATGTACATGAAACAAATTGAATAGAGCACTACCATATTCACCGCTACATCGTTCCAGGTCAAATACCCGAGGGAGTTTAGCTCCTAAATGGTAGATGAATTGAGTCGATCGAGCTAGGATAGTACTCAACATCAATCCAAATGATAGAACTAGAGGGATTCAAGTGAAGAGAGCTTCGAAACTTGTAATTAGCTAGGTAGTGGTTATGTTAGTATAGATAGGTTAGCTTCTTAATCACTATTTTTGGTTGGTAGATAACGACACCTCAACCAAAGTAAGGTACATCTAGGAGACGTGTGGTTCGATATTTTTATTGCTTGCTTACCCTATACTACACTCGGTCGTCGGTTATGCTTGGCCTTCAATTGAGATGTGTAGTTAGAGTTGAGCCAATCATGTTCTGGGAGAGATTATCACGGTCAGCCGCCGTGAAAATGGAGCTAAGGGTGACATTGGACAACTTCCAGGAGGCTCGCTATGTCTCATGGACATAATCATTGTCACAATCACAGCCTTCATAATTGTAAAGAGACTGTGAAGTTGGGCATGAAATGATAGCGATTTCAGTCAAGATCACGTGCAGCCTGTGGAGATCACTGTCGTGATCCTTGAATGTGATGTCTGCACTCGGGCTGTATAAAAAGCCAATAGTTGGGAGAGATAAAAGGAGAGCTTGATTGTTTTTGGAGAGCTTGATTATTTTTGGAGTTCCAACCCAAAGCACCCAAAGAGGCATTTCTAGAGAGAGAGAGAGAGAAAGTGATTTTGAGTGATCTTGGAGTTTAATTGGAGGCTTGGGTTGATCTTGGAGTCAAAGATTGAAGCTTAGAAGATGAAGATCTTGAGCTATTTTGTAATCTCTCTCTTCTCTCTAGAATTAGCTCTCTTCTCTTAGGTTGAAGAACCCTAGTTCTAGATTTTAATTTGATATTGATGTATGTGGCGAATCCTATGTTTAATTGGTCATTTTATTTAGTTGATGGATGGTTTCATGAATTGCATGAGTTCTACATGTCAATTGAGGTTTTGACCAGGAGGGAGGTAATCCCCTTAATCAAAACCCATTATTGGCATCTTAGGGTCACTCCTACCGTATGAACTTCTGGGTAATCCTCGAGGGAGTCGATTTGATTGATCTCTTGACGACATATGTTTTCCGTAGGTTGAATAGCATACTACCAATTCATCGCTACACCATTCCGGGTCAATACACGAGGGAGTCAATCTCCTATTGGTAGAGGAATTGAGTCGATCGAGTTAGGATGGTACACAACATTGGTCCAAATGATGGAACTATGGGGATTCAAGTTAATATAGCTCCAAACCTGTAATTAGCTAGGATAGTGATTAGTTAGATTAGTTTCTTAATCCCTATTCTAGGTTGGATAGATAACGAAACCTTAAGCCGAAGTAAGGTACACCTAGAGACTCGTGGTTCAATATTATTATTATTTGTTTACCCTATGCTACACCCGCCCGTCGATTGAGATGTGTAGTTACACTACAACAAATTCGGCCTATTATGACGAGGCAATTTTGTCATATTAGATACCCATTTTGTCATATTAGGTATAATATGACAAAATGTGTTGTCACAAAGCTTTGTCATTTTATCGCCGTCAAGATAGGTCAAATGTGACAAATTTCTAAAATAACGTTGTCATATTTGTTGTATGATATTGCGACATATTCTCGTGTCATATAATTGGTAAAAAACTGACGAATAGTTTTGTCACAATAAGGAAGGGTTTGTCACATTTGGACTTTGGCTTGTCAGTTCAGCTCATGTTCTAGTTAGTCTATTGTGACAAAATGAGCTTTTATGACGAAATATTATGTCATTAGTTTTGTCATAATTTGATGATTTTGTCAAAATTGATATTCATATTACACGATCATACGATGAATATATTTTGACATAACTGCATATTATCTCGACGACCAGATCTGTGTCGACGACCCTTCTTTCACCTTAATCGAACCCCAAAAAATAGCAATCTCCCATTTTCGCTCTCCACCTCCAGAATTGGAACCCCCAGCACAATATCCCCAAACCAATAAATTGAAACTCCCAAACAAAACAAAACCCAGCATTCAACACTCGTCCACCTCAATCGAACCCCAAAAGATCCCCCCAAACCCATCTTCGTAGGTTCCTTTCCCAACTGACACCAGCACGCTGCTCCTCTAGCAGTCGATCCACGTCGATGCACCGCAAACCGTCGCTTCCATGGCGGATCTGGGATGATGTTGAAGAAGGCAGGTTGTTGACCCTAGAAAATCAAAATCATACCAGATGAACTGAGATGGATATTGGGGAAAGACAGAAAAAATTAGAAAAGGGATTCTCTATACCTTCTCTGATCTGGTTCAGTGTAGGAAACCTGCCGAGTCTCCGAGTTGCGACAGAGTCAACTACCCGCGTCATCAAGCCGAGACTGAGTCATCCCCTCGAGTCGCGCAAGTACTTTGTCCAGAATCGCTCCTCGGCATAGGATCGAAGCTTGCAAACGGGTTAGAAGTTCATCGGCCAGAATCGCCAGTGCCTTCCACGCCGCTGTATCGCAACACTGGAGTTGAGGCCCAGTACGCAATCGACCTGCTATGTGGGATATCAAAGGTCGGTGCCAGAGATGGTGTTGGCTGGATCTGTGTGACGGAGCCAGGGAGGAGAGCATTCGTTTAGGGTTTGTGGGGCGCCGATTTTGAGATAGGAGGCGAAGTCATTTGATTGGGGAAGAAGAGAGAGTAATAAAAAGGGATACAGATGGAGGTGAATTAATTGCAAACAAATAAAGAGAAGGTAAAGTTGATTACCGCGAAAAATTTAAAATTTGAGGAATCTCAAAATTTGAAAATTTCAATTTTCCTCCGCCAAAACAGAAGTGAAAGTTTGGGAGGCAAACTCAAAAAATTTTGGTTTTGAGTTGGTTCCCAAGAAACCGACTTCAAAATGCCTTTTGTCTAACACAAGCTAATATGACGAAAATGCCTTTTGTCAAAAACGATACCACTATATTATGACGAACATGCCTTTTGTCAAAGCCGAAACCACTATATTATGACAAACATGCCCTTTTGTCAGCTCGTCGTAGGATTATTGCTATCTATTGTGACAAAAAATTTGTCACATTACTCACTTTAAATGACAAACGATTCAGACTACAAGAAATTTGTCACTATTGATTCTCTTATATCCCGATATGGGACGCCTATTTTGACAAAATTAATTGTGACATGAAATATTTGTCACATATTACTCACTTTAAATGACGACTTATTCTGACAACAGTATTTTTGTCCCATTAGGTATACCAAATAGGACATATATTATTTTTGTCATATAATCGTACCTATTGTGACAAACAGGAAATGGCAAAATATTTTTTTGTCCTAATAGGCCAAATTTGTTGTAGTGTAGAGTCGAACCACTTGCCTTAACCTGAAGTCGAGAACAACAAGCAGGAAAGATTCGACGATGATGAGGTGGAATGCCGCGTGTCGGCCTCCGTAATGGTGGGTGAGGATGATGCGGTGCTGGGTCGGGGATCGAGCGAGCAGGCTTCTCGCCTTCTCTGCGTGGCGAGGTGGAGACGGAGAGGATGAAGATGGAGAGAAACAATGAGGTGGAATTCCGTGAGTCGGCCACCATCAAGGCATGTGAGGATGACGATGTGCTGGATTGGGAAAGTAGGCTTCTCGTCTTTTCTAGCGTAGTGAGGTGGAGATGGAGAGGAGCGAAGACGCAGATTGAGACGGGAGAGAAATGAGAAGCTCTATTCGCATGGCGTGAGGCAGCAGTAGGGAAGAGATCGAAGGTTTGGGCAGGTTTGCTAATCACAATGTCATCATTTTACTATTGTTACTATGTGGGTTTCTGGTATCCGATTAGCTTGTTTATCGACAAAAAAAATTTCAGAACCTATCTGGTATCTGAATTTCTATTTAACGCCCTAACTTTTTAAAATTTTCGCCCTAAATTCACTAAACAGACAATTATGCCCCCAATTCTAAAACGGTCACCCCCAAATTCCTAATTGTCAATCCCGTCATCGACGATAATCTCTCCTCCCGCGTTCTCTTCCCCACCTATCTCGTCGCTGGCGAAATTCACTCTCAAGCCGTTCTCTTCTCCACCTCTGCTACTGCTCTGCCCCGTCGCCATTGAGGATGATGCCGCCCGTCGCCGTTGAAGAAGGAGAGAGAAGGCCGAAGCAATGGTCGTTGTTGAGGACCTCCGTTGAGGAATCTGGCGAAAGGCGTCCTTGATCGGCCAAAGCAATGGTCGCCGTGGGAGCAAAGGGCAGTTGCGGCGGCGACGGGCGAGGACATCCACAGCGAACGGCGGTGACGGGGAAGAATCTCAGGGTGAACGGCAACGAAGAGGAGATGCTTACTTCTTCGTCCTCGAGCGATTGACGGCTGAGCGGATGAAGGATTAGGGCGACGGCTGGACAGTTCAAGGATTAGGACGAGCTTTTAGTTTGGAAATTTTGGGACAAAAACGTCCACTTATCTAAGTTAGGGCGACAAATTTAAAAAAATCAGGGCGTTAATTAGTACCTCCCATCTGGTATACCCTTTAGCCCCTCACGCCTACCGCCAATTGTTAACCAGTAAACACGATTACGACTACCATAACCGGTTACACCGTTAATTGGAGGAACGTTTACCAACCCTAGTAAGAATCTGTAGAAGCAGGAAAAACCCGAGAGGATAGACAAAACCAAACGAAAGAAGAAAGAGCGATGAGAGAGAGAGAGATTTGCTGTTGCCGACTGTTGAGAGTTGAGCCATCTATCTCGCGTCCACTTAAAAGCGCGTGGTGGCGGGGAAGGAACCGGAGGAGCCAAATACAGAGTGCCCCTGAAACTCAGACTCAAACTCAGTAACTCACTACTCCTCCCCCCACCTTTCTTTTCTCATAAAATAAATAATAAAATAAATATGATGCATTTTCTTCTCAGCGGAATTTCCCCCATTACATAAATTCCAAACATTTTCTGGATTTTGTCAGCTCTTCCCCCTTTCCACTTCCTTCCTTCCTTCCAACGCCAAAAAAAACAACTCTCTGCCTCTTGCCGCGCCAGGGAAGGAGGAAGAAGAAGAAGCAAGCAAGCAAGCCGATAATAAAGATTCCAAGACTCTGAATAATACTCTGATAGTATAGTATGAACCACAGCTTCCAAAACACTCTTCCTCTGCTTCCCAATCTCCATTCCCTCTTCTTCTTCTTCTTCCCCTCGCCGACCCGCTGAAGGAAAGATTTCCCCTCTCTCTCTCTCTCTCTCTCTCTCTCGCCCAGATTCCACCACCACCTTCGTATGGCCAAGACGGAAGTGTTCGATTCCGATCCCACCCACATGGCCAGAGCAGCGGAATTGAAGAGGGAACTCCAGAAGCTCGTCAACAGCATTGTCGGCAACGAGGATTACCGCACCGAGACCATCGATCAGGCGAATGACACCCTCCGTGCTCTCAAGGACCTCAAGCTGAGGGGCAGGAAGAGATCCCCTCTCTCTATCGAGGTCCCCAACCGCCAGTCGGAGAGCGTGTCGTCGCCGGCACCGCCCACTTGCCCGGAGGAGTTCAAGTGCCCTCTTTCCAAGGAATTGATGAGAGATCCTGTGATTTTGTGTACTGGGCAGGTGAGTGACTTCTTGCTTGCTCTCGTCAAGATTCGCTTTCTTTCTTTAATTAAATTTTTTTTCCCCCTGTTTCGCTCGCTGCTCCTTTTTTTGTTTGGTTGATAGGGAAAATGCAGAGTATGTGAAAATGACCCTTGCGGTGCTGTGGAATTCTTTTTCCCTTTGAGCACTTTGTCTTTTATTCCAGTTTGTCAATTTGTCCAGAGTTTCTTCTTTGTGGCATGCTTTTGTGAACCATCCAACCCAGTCACATATCCTTTCTAACTCCAGTCAATTTTTTTTGTGTGGATTTCTTTGGTTACCTTTCCCTCCGGCGAGGCTGGTTGTTTGTTCTCCGTCGATTTACCGATTTGCTGAACCGCTGTTTATTTTCTCGGGAAACAAACAAGCAACGTTTTTTTTTTTTTTTTTTGACAAAAGGCAGTGCTTTTCATTGCTCAAGGCTGACGCCCTCGGGTTACAAGATATGGGAAATAACATCAAGCACCTGTACCCATTGACTGGGCAGTACATTTTTTGCTCTAGATTTTGCCACCCAATTGGCTTTTACATTGTCTGCTCTTTTGATATGGGATAAGTTGATCCATGGGTGGTCATCCAGTGTCTGTTTGATGCTTCCGATCCACGCTTTTGCACGCCATGGACAGCTATTTCGGAACAAGCAACGTTTGAGTTGACCATTTTCAGAAGGGTGATTTGGTTTAGGTTGAGAGCCTAATCTGCTTTTCTGGGTCAAATATTTATTACAGAATTAACTCTCCCCGATTCTGAAATCTGGTGGGTTGGTGGAATTGAAGTTACCGTAGAGTAGATGCTTGTACTATTTCTGAGACTCTGAAAAGTAGGGAAAATTTTGTGTGACAGGGTGAAATTTGGCCAATTTAGAGTCCAATTTATTGCATTATCTTCTTTCCTTCGCCGTTTATGATATTTGCTGCTGCTGTGAAAAAAGTTACAGCAGCAGTTGCATGGATGATAAATATTACCAGTAGTAGAGTAGTCACTTTCTTGCTGGGAAAGATGGTCTGGTTATGCCAGCAGAAGAGCAGTACTTGTGATATTCATTCATTTTGGTAAATGCTATACTTTTCTTTCTTATGCTTTAACTTGGTATTATTTTTTTTGTTATGCAGACCTATGATAGGCCATTCATTAACAAATGGCTGGAAACAGGCAACCGAACTTGCCCTCTAACCCAACAAGTCCTCTCCCACACAAACCTGACTCCAAACCACTTGATCCGGGAAATGATATCACACTGGTGCAAGAATCATGGCCTTGAGCTGCCTGACCCGATCCATTACACGAACGTGGAAGGAATAACATCGTCAGATCGCGACCGGTTTATATCCTTGCTCGAGAAGCTGTCTTCAGCGCTTCCCGAGCAGCAAGAAGCTGCTAAGGAGCTTCGTCGACTGACCAAAAGAACCCCTTCCTTCCGAGCACTGTTTGGGGAGTCAGACAATGCCATCCCTCAATTGCTCAGTCCACTCTCTGGCAACAAGTCTGGAAGCTCGGTCCATCCGGAACTTCAAGAAGATGTGATCACCACCCTCCTCAACCTATCGATACACGACAACAACAAGAAGCTCGTAGCTGAAACGCCAATGGTGATCCCTCTTCTCATGGAAGCACTGAGGGCTGCCACCACTGCAACTAGGGCTAATGCTGCTGCAACCCTTTTCACACTGTCTGCACTTGATTGTAACAAGGTGCTTATTGTGAAGTCCGGTGCGTTGAAACCGCTGCTCGACCTCCTGGAAGAAGGGAATCCCCTGGCTATGAAGGATGTCGCCTCGGCAATTTTCAATCTGTGCCTTGTGCATGAGAACAGGGCTCGAGCGGTGAAGGATGGTGCCGTGAGGGTGATTCTGAAGAAGATAATGGAAGGGGTTTTGGTGAATGAGCTGTTGGCTATACTTGCTATGCTTTGTAGTCACCAGGGGGCTATCATTGACATGGAGGAACAGGGTGGAGTTCCTTGTCTGCTGCAAATTATGAGGGAGAGCTCATGCGAACGAAGCAAGGAGAACTGCATTGCCATCCTTCATACGATCTGCTTCTACGACCGGAGCAAGTGGAAAGAGGTGAAGGACGAGGAGGGTTCATATGGGACGATCTCTAAACTTGCCAAGGATGGAACTTCGAGGGCCAAGAGGAAGGCAAACAGCATTCTGGAGAGGTTTAACAGGGCTGTCAATCTTACTCACACAGCCTGATCATATATGCTGGGATATATCACTACTGGGTATCGATGTAAATTCTTCATCTGGGTTTCTGGCAAAACTTTGCTTCTGGTGGGTCATCAATTGCATATGGATGACGGGGATCTTCATATATGTCTGTATATTCTCTTCTGCAGCTGAGGTTTGTGGCTAGCCATCTGTGAATAAAATAGACCATGAGCTTTGTGATTTGAAAAAAAGGACAAAGAGTTGGAAAAAAAGAAGAAGAGAAACAATGGAGTTTTTTCTCTTGTCCTAATCTTTTTTGTAGGCCTACCATATTTTCTGGATATTATTACTAGTAAGAGTTTTGGCAGCTTCAGATGTGTGCTAGCAATAGCACAGCAGTAGTTAGGTTGTAGTAGTAACGTTGTGTCATCCATGGCCCCCTCGCTCACATGTTAATAATTCCCCTCCATTAGATTTGTCTGTCAGTTAATGGGTCCAGTCCAACTGTGTTGTGTTTGCATCCCACTGTTGACTGTTACAGCTTTGGATGGTAATATTTTACTAGAAAGATTTCTCAAGTCTCTTAAAATTGTCTAGTAGCTGCAGTACTTGTCTTCTTTGCAACCTGATGCATTGTTGGAGGGGCAAAGTGGTGATAGACTGATCTTAGCTGTTTCTTCTTCTTCTTCTTCTTCTTGAAGAGTGTTTGGAGAGGGAGAGTCCTAACCAAATGAATCCAACAATGATGGATGGCCCTATAGATAAGGGTATGTTTTGTCAAACTGTGTGGCCACATTGAATGGCCTATGCACTCTGTCTGTGATTTTTCTGGTATTCCATGTTGATGTGGTCCATCCAATCCAAGAAGATGCTCACCCCCAACTCTTGTTTGCTTGCAACAGTTGTATGCCCAGAAAAGTCACATATTTGTAAAAGAGAAAAAAGGGGGAAACCAAGAAATGTGCACAATTTCTTTCCCTTCTAAGAGGTGTTGAACTTGAAATGAATATCCCCAAGTACATTCCTAACCATATGTCGGCTCAACAGTTTGCCTTGTTTAAATTTTGATCTTGTTTGTATTGTTTTCCCCCGTCGGTGCTGTCGGTTTGGATACATGCATCCAATTAGGGCGGAGTCCTCTTTTTCACTGTGATCGTCAGCTGACATTAATTATCACAACTGGAGTCAATTATTCTTTTAGGGTGATAGATTGTCCATTTGTCCTCAATTTGCGCCAAAAACAAAAAACCCCATAAAATATTGGGGAAAAAAGTGAATAATAGAGAAGATATTTTGGAGGTTTCTCACATTATTATAATGTATATCTCTGGTGCACATCATTTTCCACCTTTTCTTTTTCACAAACAAAGTTTTAATCTTTTCCCACCGATGAAAAGCAGCAGGCTTTATCCCTGCTTCTGCACTGCATTGTGAATTCCTGCCTGATATCAAAGGACAACCGGACTTTTAATTATAAACCAACTTAGAGGGCTAGAAAGAATTAAAATAGGGACATGGAAATAACTTGAAATCGACAAAATGGCATTGTAAGGTAAAACTTTGGTTAGTGGGTGGGTTGATTTGGTACTTTGGAGTTTGGACAATTGTTCTCCTTCTAGCAATGTGAACGGCTATTTGCCGCCAACCAAATTGCAATTTGCCGCCAACCAAAAAAAAAAAAAATTTGAATTCAAAATTTGAATTCTCCCTTCCTATAAATTCGAATACCATAACATTTGACTCATTCCAACAAAAACATTTTTGTCGACGAGCCCAGTGCCTCTGTCGCCGGCCAACCTCCCGTCGTCCTCAACCGTCGGAAAACAAGTAAGTTTACTTTTTCCGGCAAATTTTTCAATTTTCCGGCAAATTTTCCCGTTTTCCGGCGAAAAACACGGTGGGCCGAAAAAAATTTGCGGCCGGAACGCCGCCGGGCCGAAAGAATTTTTCGGCCGGGCGTCGCGCCGGCCGCAAAAAAGTTTCGGCCCGGCGGCGCACCGGCCACAAGATTTTTTCGGCCCGGCGGCACACCGGCCGCAACATTTTTTCGGCCCGGCGGCGCACCGGCCGCAATTTTTTCCGGCCCGGCCAATTTTTGTATTTAATTTAATTTAATATGTTAATTAATTAGTCAATAAAAAATTACTTAATTAGTTATTAGAAATTAGTGTTAATATTTTTTTAAGTTGGTGTATAAATGTTTTTTTTTGTAATAGGCGTATGCATCTTTAATTACTTAGATTAGTTAATAGAAAATTAATTAATTAAGAATTGGTTTAACAATTAATGTTAATAGTACATGAGTTAATAGAAAATTAATTAATTAGTGATTAATTAACAGTTAATGTTAATAGTACATTAGTTAATAGAAATTTAATTAATTAGTGCGCATCTAAAGTATGATATTGATTAATTAGTGATTAATTAACAATTAATGTTAATAGTATATTAGTTAATAGAAATTAAATTAATTAGTGCGCATCTAAGTATGATATTAATTAATTAGTGATTAATTAACAATTAATGTTAATAGTACATTAGTTAATAGAAATTTAATTAATATGATATTGATTAATTAGTGATTAATTAACTAAATGTTAATAGTATATTAGTTAATAAAAATTAAATTAATTAGTGCGCATCTAAGTATGATATTAATTAATTTGTGATTAATTAACAATTAATGTTAATAGTACATTAGTTAATAGAAATTTAATTAATTAGTGCGCATCTAAGTATGATATTGTGTAAATTTGTAGATAATTAGATATGGATGATGCGGGTGGGAGTGAGTTGGGTAGATTCAATGGTAGGGTTGTTGATGCATCAACACGAAGGAAGGTGCCTAAGAAGAATAAGGAGAAGAAGCGCTCTCGAGATATTGGACATCAGTCAGAGGCTCCTACTGTAGTTGCTCGTTCGTCATCACGGTCGTCTGGTTCCCATGGGGGGAACCAGGGTGCTGCATCGAGAGTGGTCTCGGCTGAGTTTGATGAGGACGATAATGGTGAGGATATCGAGGTCCCTCCACCTACGCGTGGACATGGACGAGTGCAGGATCATACGACAACATCACGTCCTGCTATGTATAGGGACCGAGCTGGGCGATTCGTACCACCTGCTCGTGAGGAGACATAGAGCTCGGGGACTGGACGGAGTAGGGGAGGAAGTTCGAGTGGTCCTCCACCGTGAGAGCTTGTTGGTGAGTGTCCTAGTGGACCTTCGGATCCTAGCCTCGTCCGAAAGTTTTCGGCGGCAGGAACCTGGCCGGGCCGAAGGAAAACGATGGCCGGAGCCTGGCCGAGCCGAAAAATATTTTCGGCCCGACCAGGCTCCGGCCACCGTTTTCCTTCGGCCCGGCCAGGTTCCTGCCGCCGGAAACTTTCGGCCCGGCCAGGTTCCGGTCGCCGGAAATTTTTGGCTAACCCTTTGTTCGTTGCAAATCGTCGGAAAAATTGTTCGAAACTACAAAAAATTTGACGCACCTGCTTAGTGATGATTCATGGATGCGTGTCCGCAGTTTACGTCGAGGATGGGCTTTCTCGATGGTTTTCCGGCGACTTTTCCGGCGAGCGTCAATTTTTTCTGATTCAATACGTTTTATGAAAGTTGAATATGTTGTAGATTGTGAAACTTCTTAACCAAAGATGTACATATATACCTTCTTTTTTTTTTTTAGTTGGCGGCAAATAGCAATTTGTTTGGCGGCAAATAGCAAGCCCCCTAGCAATTGGTGTCTTGAGACCTCCCTTATATTTGAGATTGGATGTGTGATAGGGGTGACAAATTTAAACACAGAGTCAGATATACACACAAAACTTAATTGGTTAACGCAGATAAAATATGCATTAACTTGATTCGGGTAAAATCGTCCTCGAAAAGATGCGGACACGAGTCGAGAAAGGACATCATAGTATCGGTTCTAAAATATATATGAACCCAAATGTATAAGCTTAATGAACCGCTATTTCTCATGCACGCCAACAACTACTCACATACTCTTTGATATCTTTACTTTATCACATTAATTTTTCTCTTTCTTCAATACAGTTAAACACTCATTAACCACAACCTTCCAACCACAATGATTCACTCATTTCTCAGACCTGTTGAGTTCTTCGCCTACGTGCCAGAGCTTTTTCTTGAAGCTTGTAAAATCTCTCTCCATCTTCGAATGAACTCTTCAATTCTCCTTTTATTGCGGTTTTGCTTAGGACTCTTTATTCCTTTGGCCGGTCAGTCAATTGTTCCCCAAGAAATAGCGTTTCGTCTTTCTTTTCTATTTAAGGTTTGTAGCTACTTGATGTCTGTGCCCTTATGTAATCAGAACATCATAAATGATCGTGGTTAGCTCTCGTTCATCTAGATTGAGGATACCACCTAAAACTCTTCGTGTTACGTTGTTCTTTGATTTCGCGTTATCATTTTCTACATGGCATCAGAGCTAACCACGATCCGTTAGGGCTTGCTTCTTCTCTACTATCACTCGGTCTTATTGTTGCCTTGATCTTCGACTTATGCAGGAAACATGGCTACTCACTCCTCCAGTTAAGAAGGGAAGGACGTTCTTCCCCCTTCTTCTGACGTCATCGGTCTGACGTCACCTCTCTATCTTCACCCATCGGACGCACCCAGCCAAGTCTTTGTCGGCCATCTGCTCAGAAATCTCAACTACGGTGAGTGGTCCGCTGAAATCTCTAATGCTTTGATTGCTAAAATTAAGCTTGCTTTCGTTCTTGGCACCGCTCCGAGCCCACAGTTGGGCGAGTTACTCAATGCTTGGACACACTGTCACGCCATATTTGTCGGGTGGCTTCACAGCGCAATGACTTGGGACATTCGTACTAGCATCAATATTGGTTTTACGGCCAAAGAGATTTGGGATGAATTACAAGAGCGCTTCAGCACTGGCAATCTTCCTCGTCCTTATAAGCTGCATCGCGAGATCACTAGCCTGTGACAAGACAAACTGAATGTGGTTTCATTCTACTCAAAACTCAAACAACTCTAGGACGATTGGTTCACCCTCGATCCTCCTGCGAAGTGTACTTATGGGTTGTGCAAAGGTGTACTTGTATTTTATTCAAATAGCATATAAGAGTGGGTCGGGGCGATGGGGCGGAGCATGGGTATTGAGTTACCCGTCCTGTCCCAACCCATTGCCATCACTATGAGTATATCCTTGTGGTGAGAGGAAAGGCTGACATTGCCATAGATTTTTATCAAACTCTCTTCACCACGGAAAACAAGGTGCTGAACATGGCAGAACGGTTTGTCGATCTTCCTATAGCATGTCGTGTCACAGATGAAATGAATGCCAGTCTTAAGACAGAAGTCCGGAAAACTATATTCTCCATGGGGTTGAAATAGGCACCAGGGTCGGATGGTTTCACGAGAAAGTTTTTCAAAGCCTTCTAGGATATTGTCGCAAATTGTGTGATTGAAGCGGTCTGCTAGTTCTTTACCGCAGGATAATCCGTAGCTTTAATCATACTTAGTTGACGCTGATCGCGAAAGTGGATAATGTTGATACCATGAGACAAACCAGATCAATTAGCTTATGCCAATTTGTCTATAAAGTTATAACCAAAATCATGTGTGAAAGACTTGCCTGCCTATTGCCACATATCATTTCGGAATATCAAAATGCATTCATCCATGTACGGCAAATAGTGGAGAATGTCCGTCTTGGCCATGTGTTGATGCGCTACTTGAAAATCAAAACGAGGGAAAAGAAAGGGTACATTGCTCTTAAGATTGACATGGAAAAGGCCTATGATAGAGTCGAATGGTCTTTTCTCCTTGCGATTTTGAACAAGATGGGTTTTTAACTCCACCTGGAGAGGCTGGATACAAGAATGTCTCAGATCAACTTTGTTTACTGTCCTTATGAATGGCACACCTTCGGGATTCTTCACTCCCTCTAGAGGACTATGACAAGGGGGGTTTACTCTCTCCTCTCTTGTTTGTGATTTGCACAAAGGAGTTTGTGGCACTCCTTCGAAAAGACATTTCGGAAGGAAAACAAGAAGAGGTCAAAGTATCCCCTAGAACTCCTCGAATCTCGCATCTATTTTTTACATATGACTCTTATTTATTCCTTCGAGGTTCTCTGCCGGAATGTGAAAATTTAATCGAGGTTTTAAATGAAAATGAGAAACTAGGTGGCCAAAGGGTTAACTTGGCTAAATCGGCAGTATGCTTTAGTAAGAATATCGCTCTATCGGACCAAGATTCCCTGGCTCAGATTCTGGGTGACGGGGCTGTGAGAGTCCAAGATAAATATCTAGGGTTGCCTACTCTGATAGCCAAATCGAAAATGGCTATGTTCCGGTATTTGGAGGAGAAGTTGCTAGGTCGACTTTAGAGATGGAAGCAGCGGACTCTGTCTTGGGCAACGAAGAAGACTTTGATTAAATCAGTCGCTTTAGCTTTACCATTGCATGTTATGTCCTGCTTCAAGTTACCTCTCTCTCTCTCTCTCTCTCTCTCTCTCTCTCTCTCTGTCTCTCTCTTGCCTCTTGGACAAACATGCTGCCAGATTCTAGTGGGGTGTGGAAAACGCTCAATCAAAGATATGATGGATGTCCTGGAGAAACATGTGCTGGAGTAAGCATGAGGGGGGCATGTGATTTAGCCGATTTGAGAATTTTAACCAGACGCTTTTATCTAAATTTGGCTGGCGTATCCTTAACAAACCCAACTCCCTTTTAGCCTAGGTTTATAAAGGAAAATATTTTCCAACTTGACTTTCCTTAGTGCTACTGCGCGCTCTCGTCCTTCTTGGGGTTGGCAAAGTATCCTTTACGACCGACAATTGTTGGTGCAGGGGCTATGATGGTAGATTGGTAATGGACAGACAGCTCCTCTGCTTAATGTCAATTCGATTCCTCGACTGCATCTGATATGATCCCAAATAGCCAACTCTACACGTTTTTATTACTTGCCAAAGAAGCTATCAAGGTTGGAAAGAAAAGAGGCAGAATTTGGTTAAGTGTTGGAACAGTGTCGAGGTACCTACTTTGAATGCTTGGTTCTCACAATTGGCTCAATTAATGCAGTCAAAATCACGCTTTAAAACTTAAAAACTTACGATTTTACACTTTTAGGTCACCAAAACGCTTTCGTTTCCATATAAAAACTTAAGTTTATAAAATCGGACTAAATTGCGCTTTAAAGCTTAAAAGCTTACGGTTTTACACTTCTAGTTCACCAAAACGCTTTACGTTTTTACGCTTTAGTTCACTAAATGAGTATTCTTTTCATGAAATGAATTATAAAAAGTATATTTTAAAAGTAAATCACCAACAATATGATACATTTGTGATTAAAATATACACATCAGGTACTTGGATGCATTCTCAACTTCAATAGAGTAATCTAATTCACCAATTTGGCTTTTCCCAAATTCATTAGCATAGAAGGAAAAGTGGCTTATTGTTAAAATTTGTGTTTACGAACTTATTATTAAGATGCTATAAGTTGTTCTACTTTAGGCATGAATCGCATGTATTTATTAACTTATCTAAATTCCGTGCATTCATATTTTTCATAGCATATGTCCAACTTAATAAATTTTTAGTTATTTTTCAGTATGCGTAAAAAACTTACGCTTTTACGTTTTGATTCTATGCTTTACGATTTTACCCCTTTTCCGCTTCTAGGTAAAATCGCGCTTTTGACTGCATTGGGCTCAATGAAAATTCAGATTCCCTAGTCAATATAGTAAAATTTTCCGGTGAGTCAATGAAATCCGCAGGGTAAACATCCATTGTTCTAGTAAACTCTCGGATCGCCATATGGTGATGTTTTCTGCCTAGTCTGAATTCAATGTTGTTCAAGAGATTAACGACACCTCAAACATCTCGAATTATGACTATACTAGTGAATTCCAGAACAAGTACCCTGTAGATGTTTCTTGAATGCTTAGCAATTTCAGCCACTCCAATTTCTGTATATTGGAATGGATGACTTCTTCTATCCTGAGCTAAGCAAAAAGGATCCAGTTGAGGCACATGTTTTTGCCTTGAAGAAGATCTCGGAGAAATAAGAGATTAGCTTTAAATTGCTCGGGAATATTGTTCAGGAATGCATGAGTGAGGTGTTCCATTCCAACTATTGGGCTAACTTGATTCCCTTGCTGATCTTTTTGAGCTTGTTCCAAAGTTGGTGGTTGTTGTGGATTTGGTTCTTCAATATTCACATCCTTCATACAGGATTTACTCTTGTCCTTTTTAGAAAAATGGCGGCGATGAGGAGGATTGGAATTTGTATATTCTTGGAACTCTCTCCTCGAGCCATATCCTTGTGCTTGTAAGTAATCCTACGAAAAAAGTGAAAACAATAACATGCAAAAAAACCCATAAATCTGTTAATCAAATCACATTTGAACCTCCAATATATCCTTAAGAATCATCTATGTTTCCCCCACACTTAAGTGGAACAATGCCTGCAAATCTGAAAACATAGATGGAGAAATAGGTCCATGATAACATTACAAGAATGACATAAGTTTAATAAGAATTTTAAAATTTGAACTACAAATTAGTTTCTAAATTACTAATTTATTATTGAAAGGGCACATATGAATTCGAATTCATAGCGTATATTCAGCGGCGTAGCCAGAAATTCATCTAAGGAAGGATCAATGTGTAGAAAAAATTATAAAGTAAGTTTCATAATGTGTTCAAGTGTTTTCATATTTTGAAAAGTTTTTAAAATGTTTTCATCATACAAAATTATGAGGAATGTCTTCTTAAGGTACCCAACTGAAAAATCATTCCCAATTTCATCACTCATTGGATTCTAAACAATTTCTTCATATTTATTTATTATTGTAATAAATACTCTTTCAGACACTTACAATGAGAACTTGTAGCAACATACGTCACTAAGTATTGCATTTTCATTTATATTAAACTAAATTACAAAATATATTAATTAGAAGTTAAACAGAGATCCAAAATATTATTTTATCATAAATTTTTTTACAATAACACGGAAAATTTGTGTTCAATGCAAAATCAAATAAAAAATAAACTACTACATTTTTGTCGGCCAAGGTGGTGCAAAGGATCTCACGTGTTCTCAAGTGGCTCCACCACTGGGTATATTATCTAAGTTGAAAGAGTTTCTTCAATTATAAAAAAAAATCAATTTGATTATCCTGGTTTACATTAGTCAAAGCATCGATCATTGATTTGCGTAAATTATATAAGATAATCAATTTGAATATTTTAGCTCATAAATTGTTACATAAGAACCTATACCAAAGCTTGATAAATTACCATTTCATTAAAACAAAAATAAATTTTTTCAAAAACCTCCATCAAAAGCACTAGTCGATAGTAAATAAATTTTTTCATAGATAGCCATTTTAAAGATATATAGTTACAAACTACTAAGAAACAAGACATGGTGGTCGACAAATAGTCAAACTGTTAGTGAAAATGCATTTTGCATCATTAAGGGGGCAGCTTTTTTTTTTTACAAAAGATAATCAAATTGATCAAATAAAGCTTACAAGTTACATCCTGGAACCAACCCGGCACGGAAATCATACAATCGACATGAGGCCGGAGACAAAGACATGGCAGTCACATTAATGTGATTGACATGATAATTAAATAATTAGATTTTTCTACATACGTTTATAATAGATTCAGTCAATATTCAATATATCTAAGCTAAGAATTGAGTATATTCACTTATAAATATGCATTCATTATGTTAAAGACAAAACTTATTGTATTATGCATTCAATGTTAGTTGGAAAATTAGTCTATTTTAGATTAATTTTTGATAACCATGTATTGAGATTGTAAACGACAAAATTTAATATTCATAAAGTATATATTACAAAAGCAAAAAAAATTGGAGATCCAAAATATATTAAAATATAACTTCAAATTTATAATAATAATCGTATAGAAAATTGCATGGCTATTGGCCCAGTCAAAAGCTAGTATGTATATGTATCAAAAATTGAAAAATTCATACGTAGAAAATATTTGTGTTGCTGGCAACTCTCTTGAACGAATCCTTCCTTGTTCGAGAAGCCAATGGCACAATCAAACCACCCCTTCTCCCCTCTGCCGACCCCCTTTCCTCATTTCCTTCCCCTTATCTCCTCCATTTCAACAAACAAACAAGCTAACCAAACAACCACATTTTTTTTTCTTGCTTTTTCAGAATTACAACATCATTCCTACCTCATCGCTAATCCACCTGCGACACCCAATTTTATTTTTCACAATTTAAAAATACAAAAAAAAGAAATTGTAAAAAAAAAAAAACCTGGTTTCCCTCTAATTCCTCACCTCCTTTCAATTCAAACCTATCCAACGAAATCCCAACAAAAAAAAAAAAAAAAACTCCAAACCCGCTCTGAGCTCCTCCGTCGCCGCCTTCCTCCCAGCGGCCGGCCGCCATGAACGACCGTGCCAATCACAATGAGACCGTTGTCCCCATCCTTGATCTCGACGATCTCAGCGTGATCTCTCCGGTCGGCCGTGGGGCAAAAGGCGTCGCATTTCTAGTAAGGAATCATCCTTTCGGCGAGTCATGGGCTCTCAAAGTCATCCTCCGTGATTTCGTAAAGAGCAAGAACCCCGCTGTCACCAACGCCAAGGATGGGAGCGAATACAAGCGGATCTGGTTGGAGCAACGGGTCCTCAGCCGCTTCAAGCACCCCCTTCTTCCTCGCCTCCATGGCATTCTAAGCACCGACAAGATTATTGCGTACGCCATTGATTATTGCCCAGGCCGCGACCTTAACCAGCTGCGCAAGAAACAGACAGAGAATATGTTCTCCCAAGCCATTATCAGGTCTATTATTCATTTACTTAAGAGATTCGAATCTGAGACCTCCAGGTTTTAGACTAGTGGTATTACCACTAGACCAAACCCTTGTTCGTTGAACGAATTCATCAATTGATCGAATCTCTTTGCTTCTGACAGATTTTATGCGGCAGAATTGGTTTTGGCATTGGAATACCTCCACAACTCCGGCATTGCCTACAGGGACTTGAAGCCGGAGAACATTTTGATTCAAGAGAACGGCCACATTATGCTCGTCGACTTCGACCTCTCGACCGAGCTCCCTCCTCCTCCAACTCCTCGTAAATCTAAGACGACGAAGCTCCCCGCCACTGCGGCGAGGTCCAACTCCGCCCGACGGAAACGAGCATTGAGTTTACAGCTCTTCTACAAGTGCTCTTCGGGGGTTATGTCGGAGCAATTTAGCGACTCCGGAAACCGGCGTCTCCCGTCGGAGTGTCATCAGCACTCAATGTCGACGGTAGGGAAATCGAATTCGTTCGTCGGGACGGAGGAATACGTGGCGCCGGAGGTCATCCAAGGGTACGGCCACGATTTTGCGGTGGATTGGTGGTCTCTAGGGGTGGTGATGTATGAGATGCTGCACGGACGAACTCCGTTCCGGGGGGCAAACCGGAAGGACACGTTCTACCGAATCTTGACCCAGCCGCCGGAGCTTGCCGGGGAACCAAATCCGATGAGGGACTTGATCGGGAAGCTTTTGGTGAAGGATCCGAGGGAGAGGATCACGGTGGAGGGAATCAAGAGCCACGGGTTCTTCAAAGGGCTGGATTGGGATTCAGTGGTGGAAGTATCGCGGCCTCCGTACATACCGCCGGGCGACAAGAAGGAGGGCAATTTTTTTAATAGGAGCATCGACGTGGAGTCTTTTGTCGAGAGAGTATTTAGCGTCAATGGCGGCGGAGAAATGCAGAAGGAGGAATTGATTAAAGTAGGTGACGGCAGCGGCGAGCAAGAAAAGAATCGCGGAGGAGAAGTAGAAGAAGGAGAAAATAAAAGGGAAAACCCACCTCCACGTGATGATGCTCAGAATTTTGTTGTTTTCTGATATTTCTCAGATGTCTAAAAAAATTTCATAGTACATATCAATGAATTATTATTATTATTATATTTTTTGTTGACGCTTGGAGAACTTTTCTCTCTCTTTGTTTCTTTCTTGACGTGTTTGATGTTTCTTGTTTTTTTTTTTTTGGCAAATGACAATTATTACCAACGAGGCCTCCTCAAGTACTGTTAGTAATAAGCGTACCTGAGCATCTTTGTTGATAATCTTTTTTTTTTTTTACAAAAGATAATCATATTGATTGATAAAAGATAAGAGAACGTTACATCCTGGAATTAAGCCAGGCCCGGAAATCAAATAAACGACTAGCAGCCGGATACAAAGTGAGGGCCTTTCGAGCCACCAAATGGGCTACCCTATTGTTATTCCGACCTACAAATCTAATCGAAAACCCCGGATAAGCAATGAAATACTGAATGACTTCTTCTAGCACAGCACCCATCCGGTTATCCCTGGAATCCGCGTGGTTGATTTTGTCAATGACAAGTTTCGCATCCCCTTCAAAGCCTACTTCCGTAATTCCATGTCCTATGCATCCCAGAATCGCCTCTCTCAGGGCCAGCAACTCCACCACCGCAGGGTCCTGCACTCCCGGGAATTGGGTTCCTTGAACAAAGACAACTCCCCTAGCCGAGTTCAATATTACAAACCCACCAGCCGAATGCATCCCCCGACTAGTAGCCCCATCCCACTGGCACACAACTGAGCCAGTCGGAACAACACTAGGAACCCGGGGACCGGGACCCGCGCAACGGGGAGTTGCCTCCGGAGGCAGGCAGACCCACTCATCTACTTGCTGTCGAAATTGACGCAGGAGCACTGGAATCCCAAACTGCTTTCCTTCAAAAACAACCCAGTTTCTGGAACGCCAGATCCTCCAAAGCATGGCAACCACTGCCATGACCATAGAAGGTTCACGCACCCGATTAAGTAAATTCTTGAGAAACAACGGGAAAGTCTGCCTCGACAACCCTTCCCCCAGGAAATCCAAACCCGCATATGTCCACAAGGCTCTTGACACCGGGCAGTCGAAGAATAAATGTTCCATCGTTTCAGACTCTGCCCAGCAAACCGGACATCGAGATAACACCGGAACCTCTTTCTCCCTTAAAGCCTCTGTCGTAGGGAGGATCCTATGGAAGATTTGCCAAACGAAGACTTTGAGCTTTGGCGGAATGTTAGCCTCCCAGAGTTTAATCCAGCTGGCCTTATCCATCCAACTTGCCAAAGATCGCCAGCGCCCTCGCTTTTTATCAAGATTAACCGCAAGGTGATAAGCTGTCTTGACAGTGAACCTACCATCCGAAGAGTAATGCCAAATGAGGCGATCAGCTACACTTTGCCTAGGAAGGGGGATAGATCTAATAGCCGCACAAGTAGCCGGGTCAAACCATCGGCTTAGCTCATCCTCATTCCACCGCCCTTCCCCCTGGCAAATGACCTCCGCAACCTTAGGGTCACTCCCTGCCGGTATCACACGAGGATTGGCGATTAGGGGCCACGGATGAATTTGAGGAATCCAATTAGACCCTAGCAGTGATGCTGTCCTCCCATCCCCAATCTGCCATCGGATCCCTTCCTCGAGCAACTGCCGACCATACAGAATTCCCTGCCATCCCCAAGAGGGCCGCGAACGCGCTTTTGCCTCAAGGAAGGTGCTATTAGGAAAGTATTTCCCTTTATAGACTTGAGCCAACAGGGATTGAGGTTCAGTAAGAATCTGCCAACCAATCTTAGCCAACAAAGCTTGGTTAAATTGTTCAAAGCGCCGGAACCCCATCCCCCCATCATGCTTACTTTTGCACATATTCCGCCATGAGACCCATCTAATCCTAGGCTGACCCTCCACCGCCCCCCACCAGAAGCGAGCCACATGTTTGTCCAGTAGCCGGCATCTTTGTTGATAATCAACCCACACAAAAAGCTAAAATATTATGAGTTATAAATCATAAATGGTTTGTTGCATGTAGGACTGACAGTCGGTCAGTTTCGGTTTAACCGAAAATCGAAATCTCGGTTATCGGTTAAACCGAGACACGACCAACTGCTATCGCCACCCGACCGCCCTCCAGCCTCGGTTAGCCGCAGACCGAACGGTTTTCGATTTCGGCGTGGTTTAACCGGAGCGACCAAAAAATGAAGGCCGGTTCGGCTGACACCTAAAACCGACCGACCAACAAGAAAAAAAAAAGTAAAATAAGCTAAAAGTAAAATCTCAAACCTACATTTCCATTCTTTTTGCATCAAAAATACATCTAAATTAGCAACTTAATGTCTCACATTTATTAATTCAACAACATAAACTCCACAAATCACAATAGATCCTCCAGATAGAACCATCATCATCAATGTTATCATCAGTGCTAGGCTGAGATGCAGACTCTGATCCATACTTCCTCTAATAAACCTCAAGCATCTGGCGCATCTCCCTTTTAATAGAACTCTGAATTTCTCCTTCTTTGATACGTCCATAAATCATTTCCAACACTTCAGACACCAGATCATGTTTACTTATAGGATCAAACACATATGCTATATAAATTAAGTGATTCACCTTCGTATTCTCCTCATTCATGACAGGTGTCTCAAACCAATACTTTTGTACCTTTTCTTCAACCTTTTCTGCCATCTTTTGAAGCTCTTCATGCGGATCATTCTTCATTTGCTCAATGATGTCATAAACTGGAACAAGTTTCTTGAAGAAAAGATGGGTAGTCACATATTTAGTTCCTGTACAATGAGAATAGAATACAGGAAGGAATGATCGTGCATACTTGAATACAAAGTTGTAAACACTCCACCAAACCTTTCTGCTACTTCTAACATGATATAGGTGGAGTTCCACATGGTCGGTACATCCAAACACACCAATTTGGTTGACTCAAACTCCATCAATTGCATGGCAGTCTTGAACCTTGTCAACCTAGCTGGGGATGACCTCACCCCACTTCTCACAGTCCCGAACTCTATCTGCAGCTCCTCCGATTACTTTCAATCCATCCTGCACCACCAGATTAATGATGTGTGCGACACAGCGAAACTGCAGATACTTCCCATCCATCCAATCACACCCCCACTCCTTTAATTTCGTTCTCATGCAATCACTCACAATATCATTTGTAGATGCATTGTCCATGGTCATGCAGAACAGATTCTTCACCTTTCATTCTTCAAGAATTTCTGCAAGCTTCTCTGCAATATCATTTCCTGTATGACTTGTGATGGGAACAAAGGAGAGAACCTTCTTCTGCAACTTCCAATAAACTCCAACAAAGTGAGCAGCCACACACATGTAATTTTTTGTTGTTTTCAGATGTCCATGTATCTGTGGTGACTGAAACTCTGCCTTTGCTCTTTAATTCAAAAAACTCTACCAAATGCCTTTTTTCTCCAAAAATATATGAAAGCAATCATCTCTTATACCTCTCCTCCCAGGTATCTTAAACAGTGGCTGAACAACTTGCATAAACTGCTTAAATCCTTCTCTTTCCACAAAGCAAAAAGACAACTCATCCACAATAATCATCATGGCTAAGGCATATCTAGCTTTTGCTTGATCAAACTTCCATAAATCACTTACTTGACTTTGACTACCATCTGCGGCCTGCAAGTTCAGAACAATCTGATCCCTGGATGTTGCAACCTTAGACAAACATGATTTCCGATGGTTATTCATTGCAGAAGTGCCGTTCTTGGATGGATGTGCTTTGATTTTAGTATGACAATGCCTGCACTCTCCCATCGGATACTCATCCACCGCCACCTTCGTAAAATCCTTCCAGCAATCAGTTGTACCCTTTGTCTCCAACCATTTCTCTAGATTGAAGGGATCTTCTTTAACTTTATTTGAAGCCGGATTAACCGTTTCTACTGAAGGAGTCTCAGCAGCAAGTGTACTTCCACTACCGGTATGGGCGGGAGTTGATGCAATTGATGTCGACGCGGACGGTTCAGCAGACTGAACATGCCGACTCCCTGTACGTCCACCACGACCCCGATTCTGAGGAGGGGCTGAGGCACCCGCACCACCACGACCTCGAGGAGCCGGAGATCTCCTACCACGAGAAGAAGTCTCAGCGGAAGGTGCACCTCGTCCGCCACGTCCACCACGTGGAGCCGGAGGTCTCGCCCTACATCAACAGTTACACAAATTAAAAATTGAAAAACAACATTCACAAATTCTAACAAATAACAACTAACAAGCATCATCAAAATCATCAATCATCATCATTCATCAATTAAAATCATCATTCATCATCACTAAACCTATATAACTTATAAGCAGAATTAATTAGACATTAAAAATAATAGTCGATGTTCATGATTTGTTGAAATACATGCAACACATTATGTGCACCATTTGGTGTTTAGGGTTTATGATTTAGATAATTAAGACCTATGGTTCACTCATTAAGGGTTATGGTATAGTATCATGGGGTTGTTACAATGGTATGTTGTACCTTTGATTTTACTCAAGGTATGATAGAAGCCACCATATATATGGTTTTGTCCTCGATGCACTTTTTTTTGGGTGCATTCAATGCACTTGCTTCATAATCGTCATTCAGAGTAGACTATTCATGTGAAAATGATGTCAATCATCACTTGTGGTACGATGGACAGTAAAAAAAATGAATTTGTACTAATATCATTCAAGATTTTCTTTAATTTGAATGATTTAGGGTTTAGGGATTTAAGGTTAGGATTTAGGTTTACAATTTGCGATTTTGAGTTGGGATTCAAAATTTAAGGTTAGAGGGTTAGAGTAATGGATTAATTAGTTGTAGTTATATGTTATATCTTCATATTTGACTAATCCTACAAATTAAAATTCAAAATTTGATGTCTTATTGCCACTTTTAGAGTTGTGTGAATTCAAGCGAGCGCACCGAAGTAGCCACACACACACACACACACACACACACATATATATATATATGGTAACAACTGGTATACTCCAATAGTGTACCATAATCCAAATGATATACCCGTTTGATGTACTTCATTGTAATATGACGAATCAGAATCTTCAACCATTATGTTTTTATTAAATTGATCTTTGGGTTTCAGTGTAGTGAGTCAGTGCATGAGGGTTATCCATTAGAGATTAGGGTTAGTATCATAGCCCAACCTCCACTTAATTCATGGTCTAGATAGAGATAGAATACCTAGCTCGTGTGAAAT